TAACCTTGCAGCAGTTTCTCCAGAAAATTGGTAAAAATCTTTAAAACCAAATTTTTAAATCAGTGTTCAGTCTCCTTCCATAAGTGGGATGAATACCCACAACACTGGTCGGTGGAGGTGATGACAATTGTACTGGCCATGAAAGTCGAACTGAAACGGTGCGCAGGCTTTGGGGGCTTCATCAAGTTTCATTTATTAATAAAACAAATACCTTAGTGGTTGTTTAAGATATGCACACACTTTTATTGTTGTTCTTATGAGCTGGCGCGGACGCCATGCTCGCGTTTCTTCGCCTTTTGCATTTAGGCATGCAGGCAAGTGAACACTCTGCTGGCAGTGCCACTGGGCACCTCTTTGAATGCGCGTGAAAAAAAAGAAGTCTCTGAGTCTCTGGCACAACCTAAAGCTGCATCAAGTTGGTAAAATATAATTTCTTGTTATAGACGTTTGTTTTTAATCAAAATAGGTCCATATGCAAGGACTTATAGTCCTACCAGTAGATTGGCCACATCGCTGTTGGGTGATGCTAGCGGTAATTTTCTGTCGACTTTCAACATCAAGTTAAAATTGTAATTCTTTTTTTCTGGCACGAAAACATGCTCGTTGCCACCGATGTGACGAATGATCTTCTCATTTGCACCACGACCAGAAAAATTTTTCCGTGCGGTAGACAGTCCCTTTAATGAAGTGTTTAAGAAATATTTGATTTTAACTAGCTATGAAAAATCATATATTAAGATGTTTAAACAAAAACAACAGACATTTTTGAGCTTTTAAGGAGATTTATATTATCTAACTTTCGGTTACTTGAATACGAAAATAATTATCTGTAGTGCCCTACACTTATTTGTCCGAAGCACCTGAACCACTCAACGGCCACTGAAAGCTGCTGTGTGGAAGCGCGACAACTCTATTGAAATGACGGGGTTGTGTTGTTTCGATGGTTTTTCAAAAGTTACGCGCAACGCGGGTATAACACATGCAACATGAATATAACACGGGTATATATACCCGTGTTATACTGATGAGATTCTTTGATGACATTGCATTGCTGAGTAACTCAGGGGATGAACTACAACTCATGATTGCAAAGTTAGACAAGGAGAGCAGAAAAGTAGGTCTTAAAATTAATCTGCAGAAAACGAAAGTAATGTACAACAACCTCAGAAGAGAAGAGCGCTTCGAGATGTGTAATAGTGCACTTGAAGTTGTGAAAGACTACGTCTACTTAGGACAGGTATACTCTGCGAAGCCGAACCACGAGATTAAAGTAACTATAAGAATAAGAAAGAGGTGGAGCACATTTGGCAAGCACTCTCAAATCATGACATGTAGATTGCCACTGTCCCTCAAGAGGAAGGTATACAAGAGCTGCGTCTTGCCGGTACTTAGCTATGAAGCAGAAACCTAGAGACTTACAAAGAGCGTTCAGCTTAAGTTCAGGACGACGCAGGTCTTGCTGCGTCGTCCTAAAAAGAACAGCGTGGATCAGGGAACGAACCAGGGTGAATGATGTCATAGCTGAAATCAAGAAGAAATGGGCATGGGCCGGGCACGTAGAACGTGGACAGGACAGCCGCTGGTCATTAATGGTAACTGACTGGGTTCCCAGGAAGAAGAAGGAAGGAAGTTTAAGCGGAAAGACCTGAGCGATTCCCAGATAAGGCAAGCGGGTTAGGGGGAGACAGAAAATTAAGTGGGCAGATGAGATTAAGAAGTTTGAGGGTAAAAAATGGCAGCAGAAAGCACAGGTCTGAGTTGACTGGCGGAACATGGGAGAGGCACTTGTCCTGCAGTGGACGTAGTCAGGCTAATGATGATGATAATGATATATACCCGCGTGACACGGATATGAGGCATGCCATAGTGGGGAACCTTCGGAATAAGTTCGGCCACCTGGAATTCTTTAGCGTGCACCTAAATCGAAGCATACAGAGGCGTATTTGTGTCTGCATTCTAACCCTACCGAAATGCAGCCACCGGAAACATAAATTACCTATCCTACATAACGTGATATAGTGTGGATTTTCGTGTCATCTAGAACATGCTGTGATCTTGTCTATGGCAACTGGGCAAGAGCGATCATAGAAGAAAACCTTTTCTCGTGGACCTGCACATGGTTCGTATTGCAGCGATGCCTCACCTGCAGAAAGAGAGAAGACAAAAACAAAAAGTATTTTTGCAAGGTGAACACGCACAAGTAGCTGCTTAAGCAATTGTTTTACATCAGTATATATTAATATTTACTACTGCATTTATTATTAGATTTACATCCCACTGCATCACAAAAGAGTTGCACGTTGGAACAAAGCTTAAGGAGTGTATTTTCTTAAATATGTTGCTTAAATTATACGAATGTACTTTTGTCATACACGAGAACTATTTTAAGCTATCTCCTTTGATTCAAGTTCTAACTTTATCATTGCCACGGCTATTCAAATTGATCACCGGTGATCGACGCTTTCGGATCGTCTATTTTGGCATGTTAAATTTATTTCTCATGCACCCAGCACTTTCTAGTAGATAGTTCAGGCACTCAACTTTCAGAATCAATTCGAATTTGCCCGTTTGGGCAACACAGTGATTTTTGACGGACCTTTGCACGAACCAATGTGCACGTATTGTTTGAAAAGTGCACTAGGCTGGGGAACTCGACAGAAGTGCATGCCCCTCATAATTATTGTACAGTAACATCGAAGTTTTGTAATGAAAATAATCTTTGCAAGCCGAATATCAAATTAAAATGTCAGCTTCGCTATTTGACAGTGTTAAACTGTAATAATGGCCATAATAATATGCCAGCTATTCAATAGAGAGCTCTTGCTAGGAGTCTGGAAAAATTTGTTATACAAAAAATATTTGCCAAGGTCCGCCGCATGTTTAAAGTGTCGAAGCGGTTCTCTATGACCATTTCCAGCAACTTTTGTTTTGCTTTCATAGTTATATCAGACACAGGGTTGCATCTAGTGTCACCAGTCGCTCCTATTACGTCGTCGTCACGCGCGCATGGATGCGCACCAGCGGTGCAAAACTCGTGTGCTTATCAAAACTCTCTTGCTACCCCACCTGAATTGAGTAAGGGCGAACTTAGAGTTCGAAGATGACAGCACCTCAGCTTCAAGTTTTATGGCGATGATGTCGTCCCTGAAACATCCACAGCCATTCATGGGTTTCTTTTGTACTATACATCCTCAAGTTGTCTCCTCCGCCACAACTGTGTATAGCCTCTCACCTTTGTGCACAATTTTATAGCTACTCTGGTTGCACGTGGTCCACACTTCGCTGGAGCGCAGTGTGCTGGTGCTGGCTGCAGAGCTTCTCCTTACTACAAGAAGGTTTCCAGAGCACATCTTGGCCCTGACTATGGAACAGTGCGAAACCTTTAGAACTGCACGCGATATTATCCTACTTTAATAGGATATGTGCAAAAACGAAACATAAATATGCTTGGATGCGTATATGGAAGCGCCAACCTATGCAGAGCGAGGTGGCTCATGAAAAGAGGTGATGCTAGATGTGTAGTGGAGCATATGCACCAACGCCTATGTGCCTTCGGAAGATAACGAAAAGCCCCGTGCTCTGCTTGCGCGAGAGTTTGTGCCGCCTTTGCCAGACTTGCTGTACGCCCATTTTCCGTCGCGACCTCGTTGCACTTCTGTGCTCCAATAAACGTCATCACATTTGGGTGGAGGTGCTGGAAATTCACAACTTGGCACTAGGGACACTTCCGCACGGCAACAATCGATGATAGCTTCATGACGTGATAAGAAATCCCAACCCAGCATGAGGTCATGAGAGCAAGATGGTAGTACAAAAAATTGGATGATGTACGAAACGTCTTGCATGACGACGCACGCCGTACACACAGCCGAGGGATGAATGTGTTGCGCGCTAGCCGTGGACAGCACGATGCCACAGAGAGATGTGGTCACTTTCTTCAGTTTGCGACAAAATTTTGCATTCATCACAGAAACGGCCGCCCCAGTATCAATTAACGCTTGTGTGGCGACTCCCTCAACATTGACATCAACAACATTTTGCGGCAAAAATGGAGGCCTTGATAATTGCGCGGAAGTTGCAGTTCTTGTCTCTGGAACTGCACTGATTAGTTTCCCTCTTCAGAAGGTGGTCTACGACGCGAAGGAGATGGCGATCGGCGACGAGGAGATGAAACGAGAAGTTGATGGGCGACGATCCGAGTCAGAGTGCCTCTGTTCGTATGCAGACGTGGTGGCCTGCTGCGACGCATAGGTAGGAGTTCCAAAGGAGGCGTACGCAGGTGTGGGGCGGCGGCGGCAGTAGCGTGCAATGTGGCCAGCGATGCCACACGCGAAGCAGAAAGGTAGGTCTTTAAAATTAATCTGCAGAAAACGAAAGTAATGTACAACAACCTAGGAAGAGAAGAGCGCTTCGAGATAGGTAATAGTGCACTTCAAGTTGTAAAAGACTATGTCTACTTAGGGCAGGTAATAACCGCAGAGCCGAACCATGAGATTGAAATAACTAGAAGAATAAGAATGGGGTGGAGCACATTTGGCAAGCACTCTCAGATTATGATGGGTAGATTGCCACTATCCCTCAAGAGGAAGGTATATAACAGCTGTATCTTGCCGGTACTTAGCTACGGAGCAGAAACCTGGAGACTTACAAAGAGGGTTCAGCTTTAATTGAGGACGACGCAGCGTTCGCTGTGTCATCCTGAAGAGAGCAGAGTGGATCAGGGAACAAACCGAGGTTAAGGATGTCATAGTTGAAATCAAGAAGAAAAAATGGGCCGGGCACGTTGCGCGTGGAGAGGATAACCGCTGGTCATTAAGGGTAACTGACTGGATTCCCAGAGAAGGCAAGTGGATTAGGGGGAGACAGAAGGTTAAGTGGGCAGATGAGATTAGGAAGTTTGTGGGTATAAATTGGCAGCAGCAAGTACAGAACCTGAGTTGACTAGCGGAACATGGGAGAGGCCCTTGTCCTGCAGTAGACGTAGTCAGGCTGATGATGATATCATCATCATCATACCTGTGTGACACGGATATAAGGCACACCATAGTGGGGAATCTCCGGAATAAGTTCGGCCACCTCGAATTCTTAGCATGCACCTAAATCGAAGCATAGAGAGGCGTATTTGTGTCTGCATTTTAACTCTATCGAAATGCAGCCACTAGGGAATATAAATTTCCTGTCTTACACAACGTGATACAGTGTGAATTATCGTGTCATCTAGAACATGCTGTGATCTTGTCTATGGCAACTGAGCAAGAGCGATCATAGAAGAAAACCTTCTCCCGTGGACCTGCACATGGTTCGTATTGCAGCGATGCCTCATCTGCAGAAAGAGAGAAGACAAAAACAAAAAGTATTTTTGCAAGGTGAACACGCACAAGTAGCTGCTTAAGCAATTGTTTTACATCAGTATATATTGATATTTACTACTGCATTTCATATTAGATTTACATCCTGCTGCATCACAAAAAAGTTGCACGTTGGAACAAAAACTTAAGGAGTGTATTTTCTTAAATATGTTGCTAAATTATACGAATTTACTTTTGTCATACACGAGAACTATATTTAAGCTATCTCCTTTGATTCAAGTTCTAGCTTTATCGTTGCCACACCTATTCAAATCGATCACCGGTGATCGACGCTTTTGGATCGTCCATTTTGGCATGTCAAATTTATTTTTCAGTGCATCCAGCCCTTTCTAGTAGTTAGTTCAGGCATTCAACTTTCAGAATCAATTTGAATTTGCTCGTTTCGGCAACATAGTGATTTTTTACAAACCTTTGCGAGAACCAATGTGCGTGTATTATTTGATAAGTGCACTAGGCTGGCGAACTTGACAGAAGGGCATGCCCCTTGTAATTATGGTACAGTAATACCGAAGTTCTGTAATGAAAAGAACCTTTGCAAGCCGAATATCAAATTAAAACGTCAGCTTTGCTATTTGACAGTGTTAAACAGTAATAATGGCCATAATAATATGCCAAACATTCAATAGAGATCTCTTGCTAGGAGTTGGGGAAAATTTGTGCTACAAAAATTATTTGCCGAGGTCCGCCACATCTTTAAAGTGTCGAAGCGGCCCTCTATGACCGTTTCCAGTCTCTTTTGCTGTGCTCTCATTGTTATATCAGGCACACGGTTGCATCTAGTGGCACTAGTCGCTCCTATGACATCATCATCACGCACGCATGGGTGCGCACCAGCGCTGCAAAACTAATGCGCTCGTAGAAACTCTCTTGTTACCCCACCTGAATTGAGCGACGACGAGCTTAGAGTTCGAAGATGACAGCACCTCTGCTTCAAGCTTTATGGCGATGATGTCGTACCTGAGACATTCACAGCCGTTCATGGTTTTTTTTGTGTGTACTATACATCCTCAAGTTGTCTCCTCTGCCACAACTGCGTAGAGATTCTGACCTTTGTGCACAATCCTATAACTACTCTGGTTACGTGCGTGGTCCACACTTCGCTGGAGTGTGGTGTGCTGGCGCTGGCTGCAGAGCTTCTTCCTAACTACAAGAAGGTTTCCGAAGGACATCTTGGCCCTGACTACGAACAGTGCGAAGCCTTCTAGAACTGCACGCAATATTATTCTTTATTAATACGATACGTGCGAAAACGAAAAACAAATATGCTTGGATGCATATGTGGGAACACCAACTTATGCGGAGTGAGGTGGCTCATGAAAAGAGGTGACACTAAATGAAATAGAGAAGTTCATTGGACACTTAGTTTACAGAGGAATTATTCACACCATGGGTATCCATCTATACTAGAACACCTGGAGACTCTTATCACAAGACAACAAAAATTTACTGAGAAAAGAGTATGAGTACACTTGTGTCTCACGAAAAACTATGCAATGCTTCACTGCATGGCACGAGCAATGGAGCAGCACCTCGGTTCTGATTTTCTTTATCTATGTGAAGAACATTTTGTACAACAATAATTATTTTTTACATTGTTCCTAGGGTCACTTACCTACAAAATTTATATTCTGAATTTTCGTAGTTCTGAATAGTTTTGCATAGATAATGTCTTTTATTGCACTGTTTACCATCTGGCAACCGAAAATTTCACATTTTTGTTCACCCTAAAATATTTTTGTTGTTCTACACTATATATTTTTTGCAAAGAGCATTTCATTGTGCGAAGTTTGGCATGCTGTGGTGCATGCTGGAGTACTTTTCCAACTGGCAAAAACGATGTTCCCGAGACATATAAAGAACAACCATTTCCACGTGGTAACGAAAGAGTTAGGTGTCCTTTCTCTAATATTTATTTATAATTTTTAATCTATTGGTTCACCAGATTATAATGAACGGGGGGAAGTGGTGGCTTCCATAAGACCTAAGGATTGCTGTAAGGCCTACCCTTTCGCTCTGACCACCACAAAACAGTAATCCCAAGGCTTTAAAGCTGAAAGTTGACAGTGTTCTGGTGTCTTTTCACTTTCTTGTCGCAAATCCCTTGTCACAATGTATATCGCACTAATCCTATTCTTATAAATCGCATGTCTTGTCCATTCATTCTATACAACTGCCATGAAACAACTTGAAACTAATTTCGAAGAAGTGCATGAATGTGCCTTTCAACCCTGTCCTTGCAAGAACTACTAATAACTTAAATATAAAGCTAACGCTCTGCCTTCTCTCAAGTGGTGAACATTAAAGCAAGCTGTCATTAGCTAATAGCTATAATTCACTCCTATCTGTAAATGCCTTCGGGCTCCGTAGTAAGAAAAATAAATAAGTGCAAACTTGTAACAGAGTGTAGCATACTGGAGGATGCGGCATACTATGTGGCATACAATGTTTTACATTTATTTTCCTGTAAGGTCGTTCTAGTTCTGAATGGCTATGAATGTAGCTCCGTGTTTTGAATAAATACAAAAAATAACAATGAACACTCGCTAATAAAGCTGTTGACAAATCCAATTTATTCTATTGACTTGCGTTTTTAATGTCAGATACGATCCTGTCCCGCTCTTGATTGAAAGGGCATGTTTCGAGCAGTCATTGATAGCCGGTTTGGCCGACATAAGTTTTGCTTCATGTCAAACAGACTGCACCCATCCCAAAGCGCTTGAATGAGCATGGAGCGAGGGACGTCAACGTATGTAGGGCACCCAGGAATGTAAGACAAGGGACATCGTAATATACATTCGCTCGACTCCACTGAGACATCACATTACACACGACATTGAATGAATTGACCTCGTAAAGTACGCTTGCGTTTAGTACAACAAGCTTCAAGGTTGTAACATGCACCAACTTGGGTGTTCTGCATTGAGGTATCTGTGCTTGTGTGTAAAAGTATGTGTATTTGTACGATTAAATCTTCCATACAATTAAAACATTCTTCGCATGGTAGGATGTTTTCATGACCATGTAACATTTCACCAAAGAGAATAATGCAAAATTAAACTCCAGATTTCAAATAATTTGGATAAACTCAGAGAATTTGTGGAACTAAATTCTGATAAATACTGAATTTCTGCCAAAACATTAAGTTCAAAAAAGATTCCTCTGAATTCAAAGACCAATTCTGAAAACATGGAGCCCAAGTTACGTGCCTATCTAACTAGTCATACTAGAGCACAAAATACAGTGCCTAGCTGTCTGCCCAATGATCATGACCAGTGGGGCAGCACCACTAAGAGTGGTGAGCTGTTCGTATCTAATCTGAAGGGGATAACAAAAGAATTTTCTACAGAGGTAATTTGATGCATAAAATAATTTTACATATCGAAAGTACTAGATTCAAGGGGATTTAACAGCTGTCCTTTGATCCCAATACCTAATTCTTTTACGTTGCTTCAATATATGTAGGTCCAACTGTATAACAATGTGAGCAGGGTAAAAGAAATACGTGTGCCCCAGCAGTGTAACAATCATTGCCCACTGGCAAAATCAGCACGCCAGCTTGCTCATCACTCGACCACAAAAAAAACATACCTAGTTTACTGAGGAACAACGCACGAGTTTCAGGATTGCGGACGGTCGACGGGATGTACGCTGCGCCGCCGTGTGCCAGCACAACCGCCAGGGACGTGACGAGGGCTGACACGACTTCCGGGCCGTACACCAGGTCTGAAGGAATTTGCGAATAGGAAAAGCAGAAGGAGCATTAATAAGATGGGCCAACTACGGCGAAACTGCAACACGAGCCTGTGAAGCACTTTGTGAACCTGTCCGTGCACATGTCACCAGTGCGCACGAAGTATGTGATACACACAGAAAATATCAATTACTGAAGCGTCGTTGTAAATACAGTGGAAACCGACAGATATTTCGCGTGCCCATGCGGGTAAACTTGTAAAGCTGGTACTTGTGTAACCTCTACAAGTTTCTAGCATCGGTCCTATACAGTGCACACTGCAAAGAAACAAGAGGTTCCACTCAATCAACGTACAGGATGTTATTCTACACATTTTTTTTTTGAAATGAGAAAATACATATATTATGCATTACTATGCAAATGTTTAGAATGGCAAAAATAGTTTTATAAAATTTAATTAACTACAAGCATAGACACTTTTTCTCATGACCAAACTTGGAATGCTTCTGTGGGGAAAGATGGCGTATACAAACTGGCTGGTAAACTACTAACTGTACAGAAACAATTTACACATCTACAGATCTACTGAATAATGAGCACACGTACATAACTATTTTTTTATGCAGATGGCCTTTTCACAACGAAAGGCCATATTCATAATCAGTTTACATCTCATTGCATTCACAGTGTGTTTTGCGTATCTACTATTGATGTAACGCCCAAAACATATACTGTGCACAATATGTGGTGTGTCTTTGCCACGTCTTCTAGAATTTTTTGCAGCCACTTGTCAAAATAAAGGACTACAAAGCACTGAAAGTTTCCCAGGGCCTCTGCGAGTGAATTGTGGCAAAGAATATACTGCACGGTCCTCTTTCACTGCCTACTTAATTTTTATCACTTTAATACGTTTAAAATGCATGAACTGGCCTATAGAAAATGAAATGTAACACATGCATAGATGCTTCTTATGTGCTTTTTTCTCTTTGTCCGGTTTGGACTGTTTTAAACCTAATTTTTTTAAACATGAATTTGCGGATTATCGATGCTCCTGAACAGTCATTCTGGTCTTATAGCATTTTAGTTTTCGTGAATTTCACCAAAAATCTGCAACATACCGAGCTCTGAGGATTACGTCTGCTCAGCAACAGCTCCTCGAAATTTGCATTGTTCGCCCCAATGAAGCGCTTCAATCCCTTGCATGGCACTCCGTGACGCCGTTCCACTTGAGGTTGTCCACTAGTGAGCGAAGAACGGCGCCGTGGCCATCAGTGAATGTGTACTACAAGGGGCGACAGGTCTTGCACACGACGATGCCAGTCAGTCCGACGCCACACCTCAGTTCTAGAATGCGCCTGCAGTGAAACGATTTGCTGCGGTTACCGAAATCTGCACTCGGATCGAGCAAACGAACTGTCTAGAAGTTTTCAAACTTATTTGCCATGCAAGAAATGCCTGTTTTCGAGGCACCATTCAGACAGAAACTTTGATGCCTACAAGGAAAAACGTAAGGTAATCATAATCATCACCTAAAGCAAAGTTAAAATGGTAAATCCTAGTTAGCAGTAGCCCCTGAAAGGCCATACCTGCAGTAAAATGTGCAATAAGCCCATGGCTGACAAGCTTTTGGTATCGTCAGATAATCTAATGAACTGTGCAAAGTTTTAAGCAGGAATATAAAGACCAACCTATGCATTTGGTAAGGACGTCCATGTGATTACGTGAATGTCTCACAAAGAAAAATTGGAATAGAAACAAGTTAATTAAATTGAGACCCTTCAGTAAAAAGTCAATAAAGAAAAATAAAATAAAAAGCACCGCTTAAGCGCTTTGTACAGACGGTTAACCAGCGAAGTTTAAATGTGCGGCTCCAGTGTTTATCGCGAGCTGGGATCTATTGAAGGGCCTTCAGTTGTAGCTTTGGATTTCTCTGTCACTACAATCAAGAGATGCGTGCTTTAATCTTAGTATTCAGTGACATGTGCCTTAATCTTTGTGCTTGGTTACATATACTTTAAATGTTGCTACAGACACCTAAAGGAAATTTATTGGTACTGATTGATGGTGCCACAGGTAGCCTTCTTCGCTAGCAATCCAGAAACCTTTCGCCTGTTTAGCCTCTCCGCCTTTCACTTGACCTTTCTCTATGCTGACAAAACCTGAAGAGATGCTAGTGCGGGGGCCTTTTAAGATAGCGCACGCTACTATCGCTTCTTCGTTCTCAAGTGTAACTGTGGTAACGGCCGATCTCGGTGCCAAAATCCGTGCAGTTCCTGATGGATCCTACGCACTCACGGATCGCCACATACACGCACCTTACAGGCATACACGGCTTCGTAAGCAAGGGGTCTCACCTGTCATGTTGTGAGGCTTGTCGTCCCACCAACCACAGAAGCCGTATGTTCTTTTAAAGTGACTGTCATGCGAGCGTCCTAGAACGAATACAATCGATTCGCCATGTATAATTACGCCATCGCTCGGTTGAAAAAAAAAAAAAAAAGGTGAACTAGAACAATCAAACGCAGCGGGAAAAAACTCACGATGGTGTACGTGACGAAGCCGGGGATGTCTTCATCGCTGTTCACACCTCCGAGTTTCTCGGCAAAGTGGACGTATACAGGCTGTCCGTGATCTCGACATTTTTTTTTTTTCTTCTAGCTGCGAAAGCGAGGGTGATTCTGCGGTTAGTCAGGAGTCGCCGGAGGCCGAGATGTCAGTCATTGGCGAACCACTACCTTGTTCATGAGACACTTGAGGAAATTGGTTATGTACGCCGGCCTCGGCGGGTACGCTGACGCAGTAGGATGGAGAATTGTGCGGTCGATCAACGCTTCCTGAAATTCCTGCGTCAGTAGTTCCCTTCGGCACTGTATCCTGCATGCGTGAATGTTACGAGGATTCGTAAGCGATCATTCGTGCGAGTTGTACCAACGAACTCCATCATCGATCTGTGCATCCTTTCTTGAATATGAACTTGTCGGCTATCACGCATATGGCGAAGTTTGAGTCATTGAAGAAGTCCATCGCCACCGATTTACCAGCAATTTCCTCAGTTCGGCAACCGGAACGCAGGCGAGGAATAAAGTCGAAATAGATCTCAACGTTTTTTCAGTCATAGTTGGGCAACCGAGTGTGCTGATTGTCATAAAGAACGGGTGATACTCGAAGCCATTCCGGAGATCCGAAAGCAAGGATCTACAAATACACGTGCTCTTTGTTTAATAAGGCAGCGTTCCCAGAAGTAGCCAAAACAGCAGTCGTGATTTTATTTTGGAGCCAGAAAAACTGTTTAGCTAAAGCAACGCCTCCTCTAGAAAGATGCGTGCCGTTTGAGAAGAAAAACAGCTGCCATACCCTTTCACTCCTTCATTATGAAAATGTTCTCAGTCGCTAGCGTCACTTGTGGCGGACGGTGCAACAACGCAACACTTTGAATAGCCTCTAAAATAGTGGTGGTGCACATTTGCAGGTCTCGAACAACTCTCGACTGACGCTCCCCTATGGGCCGCAGATGAAAAACGCTTAGCTGGTACTAGGGTGGCTAGAATGGAGAGGTGTGAAAAGCGGCCGCTGAAACAAGCCCCAAAGCGCGCCGATGCCGCTTGGGGCACTGCATGCACCGGCGTGGGCTCCATTTTCACAACAAGAGTGGGAAAGGGCTGAGAAAGGGTTCCTGGTAGTACATCAACAGGCCCAGAAGCATTCCAATTAAGCTGATAAAGACATTAGGTCCGAAGTCTAAGCAGGCTTTGAGAGAGGCAGTGAGCACGATAATAATCGATGGTGAAGTTCCCGATGGATGGAAACTTAGCATGATGAGCATGATCTATAAAGGAAAGGGGGACAAAGCTGACATAAACAACTACCGTTCTATAACAGCGACATCAGTGGTCTACAGGCTGGCGATGCAGATTATAAAGGAAAGACTGCAGGCATGGATAAAGGATGAGGGGGTGCTGGGGGAACTGCAGAATGGGTTTCGGAAACACAGGACGTTGGAAGACAATCTGTTCTCACTGACGCAGTGCATCGAAATAGCAGAAAAGGAACACAGGCCCCTGTGGCTAGCATTTTAGGATATCAAGGGAGCATACGATGGCGTGGTTCAAGAGGAATTGTGGGGAATACTGGACACACTAGGCGTGGAACATGAAGTCACTAATCTTTTAAAGGATATCTATAAAGGTAACAAGGTAGTTATAAAGTGGGAAAAACAGGTATCCAAGCCTGCAGAGGTAAAACGGGGGCTTGGGCAGGGGTGTCCCCTGTCACCCTTATTATTTATGATGTACCTACAAGGATTAGAGGCCAAATTAGAGGGAAGTGGACTGGGCTTCAACCTCTCTTTAGTCAAACAAGGAAAACTCATTGATCAGGCACTACCAGCATTAATGTACGCAGATGATATAGTGCTAATGGCCAACAACAAGGAAGATTTGCAGAGATTGATGGACATCTGCGGTAATGAGGGAAATAGGTTAGATTTCAGATTCAGTAAGGAAAAATCAGCAGTCATGATTTTCAATGATAACGAAGGTAGTGAGCTTAGAATACAGGAGGTCACGCTAGAGATAACAGATAAATACAAATATCTGGACGTATGGATAAGCAATGGGACCGAGTACCTGAGGGAACACAAAATATACGTGACGACTAAAGGTAACAGGAATGCAGCAGTGATTAAAAATAGGGCACTGTGGAATTACAATAGGTATGATGTTGTGAGAAAAATATGGAAAGGGGTCATGGTTCCTGGGCTGACGTTCGGCAATGCGGTCTTGTGCATGAGATCCGAAGTTCAAGCAAGATTAGAAATTAAGCAACGTGGAATAGGTAGGCTTGCTTTAGGAGCTCACGGGAATACACCAAATCAGGGAGTACAAGGTGATATGGGATGGACATCATTTGAGGGCAGGAGAGCTAGCAGCAAGATAAAATTTGAGAAGCGACTAAGAGAAATGGGGGAGGAGCGTTGGGCTAGGAAGGTTTTCAGCTACTTGTACATGAAGAATGTCGATACAAAATGGAGGAAGCGAACCAGGAAATTGACTGGTAAATACTTAGAAAACAGCAGGTGGCCAAACCAAAAACAACTATCGGTTAAGAAGAAAGTGAAGGAAACAGAGACTGACATGTGGAGAATGGGCATGATTAAGAAGTCCGCACTAGAGACCTATCGAACCTTTAAACAGGAAGTTGCCAAGGAAAGTATCTATGATAATACTCGGGGTAGTTCTCTACTGTTTGAGGCCAGGACGGGAGTACTGCGAACCAAGACATATCGGGCCAAATACGAAGGGGTAGACACAGTATGCAGTGCGTGTGGAGAGGAAGAAGAAACTGCCGAACACTTGATAATGTTCTGTAAAGGGCTTCACCCTATAGTTAAGGATGATGGCTCAGAGTTTTTCAAAGCACTGAGGTTTAGGGACAGGGAGGGCAAAATAGACTTTAAGCGGGTAGACTTAACTAGAAGGAGGTTATCTGATTGGTGGCTAAAGTCAAGGCACGAGTGAAAATTACTCTTCACTGCAAAGTACGAATCCTCAAACCGACTTTTTAAGGGGAAAAAAGAGATATAGTATTTGGTTCATTAAGTATTACGGCTTGGTGGCGCTAGCCACCGCCCGATCTAAAGGGTACAGCCAAATCCATCCATCCATCCATCCATCCATCCATCCATCCATCCATCCATCCATCCATCCGGGTAACTTTGCGGAGGAAACAAACGAGACAGCACGCGCCGCTCTGCACAAAAATTGCTCTCACGCTGTGTGGTGGTGACCCGTTTTCGGTAAAATGATTTTGATTGAGCAAATGTAGGGCAGTACATAGCACCTAAGCTCTTTAAAGTCTCATCTCTGAAAACCATTCTTGAAAAGGCTTTGATATGTTTAGTTTAAGGTCCCAAAACCACCATTTGATTATGAGAGACGCCGTAGTGGAGGGATCCGGTAATTTCGACCACCTGGGGTTCTTTATCGATTATACTCCAAGATCAGAAGTTAGAATCAATGCCCCGACGCTGCTGGAGCCAGAATATCATTTTAATAAACCTCGTATTTATAATTGACATGTCATAAAGCATTCGTTAAACATGGTTGTAGTACCATAATTTATCTTGCTCTGATAAACGTAAACCCAAGAGTTTGTTTCACTAGGCACGAAGAATCAAATGTGGATTTTACCTATTCCTAGAAGCGTTTAGGATGAACATTGTCCTACAGGCCATATTAGCTATTAACCACCTTAAACAACGAAGACATTGACACTTTGTCCTTCCTTCTGCTATTGAGAGCTTCCTATGAATCTATTTAAATATTGCAAGAACGATTGGCTGTCTTGCGCATTTTTTTAAATAATTCTTATTACTGTATTGTATCTTTCACTGTGATGTCTCTGTGCAGCAGTGCATAGTTTTGATCCCGATGATTTCCGACACTTCATTATAATATTATCTGTAAATAATTTTTTACGATTAATTTCCAACTATATCGCAGTAGATATATGTAATTTTAAATAATCAAAATCGTCATATTAGATGCTTCGCCCAGCTAATTCACTTTCCCGAATAGCAGATCTCCTCGAATTTTGGTCACACTACTTATTCATTTTTGTTTTTCATGTTCATGCCAAGTCATGATACATATGTATTCCCTCGCTCTCTATTTGTGGAGCTTTGTTTCATATTATTTGTATTCTTACTTGGTGTCATTTCATACGTGTAAAGTTTTTTTTTTTTATTCTACATGTATGAATGTCTGTAGTGTATTGCTGCTTTACCAACTTGTGACTGGGTCGGTACTTTGTGAACGCCTCGAGGTTTTAGTCCCATGCTCCTCGACCTAATGAAAAAAATGAAGTCTCCGACCAAAACAACTATAGCTAATTTAGCTGAAATAAACTAGCGAATTTTGCACGAGATGCCGGACGTAGAATGCAGTGGCCTAATGTGCACTGGAGAGTTTCATGCGATAGCTTATAACAATGTGGCGCATGTTAAATCCATTTCCCATTGTCACAGAAAGCCGAAATATTATTTAACCATCAACCCTCTCCGCAAAGATATGATCACTGAGCTAAAAAAATTACAGTAATTTTGCAGCTTGCATCTGATAGCGGACCATAATCGCAGGTATTTGCAGTTTAAATAATTTTTCCTCTTTTAACCTACACAGGCCCCGCTAGAATTGCAACTGTTTATGGAAACGTGAGTTTTCCTTTTCCAGGTACTGCAAACTTAATGCTCCGCGACCTGTACTATCAGCAGAAGCAAATTTTATTTTGGAAACTGTTACAAAGATGTAACGAAGTCCTTGGGCCGGCTGCCCTCAAGCGTGCCTTCGCGTCATCTCGGACATTCTTTTGTGGGGTGTGGGTTGTCCCCTGCACCGGCTGTGTTTGTCTCGTCTGTGCGCTTCGCCTGCGGGGCAGTGGTTACGGGTGGGCCCCTCTGGAATGTGCGGAAGGCCAGTTGTGTGCTACAGGAG